CTGGCCCCTGGACATAGCTAATCCTTATACTTAATCATCCCTGGCCCTTGGACATAGCTAATCCTTATACTTAATCATCCCTGTCCCCTGGACATAGCTAATCCTTATACTTAATCATCCCTGGCCCCTGGACATAGCTAATTATTATACTTTATCATTCCTGGACATAGCTAATCCTTATACTTAATCATCCCTGGCCCCTGGACATAGCTAATCCTTATACTTAATCATCCCTGTCCCCTGGACATAGCTAATCCTTATACTTAATCATCCCTGGCCCCTGGACATAGCTAATCCTTATACTTTATCATTCCTGGACATAGCTAATCCTTATACTTTATCATTCCTGGACATAGCTAATCCTTATACTTAATCATCCCTGGCCCCTGGACATAGCTAATCCTTATACTTTATCATTCCTGGACATAGCTAATCCTTATACTTTATCATTCCTGGACATAGCTAATCCTTATACTTTATCATTCCTGGACATAGCCAATCCTTATACTTAATCATTCCTGGACATAGCTTATCCTTATACTTAATCATCCCTGTCCCCTGGACATAGCTAATCCTTATACTTAATCATTCCTGGCCCCTGGACATAGCTAATCTTTATACTTAATCATCCCTGTCCCCTGGACATAGCCAATCCTTATACTTAATCATCCCTGGCCCCTGGACATAGCTAATCCTTATACTTAATCATTCCTGGACATAGCCAATCCTTATACTTAATCATTCCTGGCCCCTGGACATAGCCAATCCTTATACTTAATCATCCCTGGCCCCTGGACATAGCTAATCTTTATACTTAATCATTCCTGGCCCCTGGACATAGCTAATCCTTATACTTTATCATTCCTGGACATAGCTAATCCTTTTACTTTATCATTACCAGTGAGGTAATACCAGAAAGCACAAGGTGACTGGTTTTGTTATTCAGGCCGACAGTATCTGTAGACTGATTAGTGTTGTGACTGTTGTCTTACTGTGTCTCATTATCAAATCCAAGTCATTTCAGGTCTTTATGGAAACCATCACCAAGGCAACTGTTAATTAACTTACACAGACATGTAAAACAGATGCTGCATCCTTTACAGTCTAACATTTCTTTAAACAGTGACGTTATCTACTCAATATTTCCAAATTTCTAAATTAGTTTGTCCAATTTTGTTTATCAACACAAAAGATGAACAACACTAGCTTATTGATAAACAATATTTCTATCCAATGCTCCATGATGTCTTTGATGTTGTCTCAACTTCTGAATAAGGGACACAGTATATCGACTAGGGTTTGGACCCTTATTGGATAGCCATTATAGGGTCTGGACCCTTATTGGATAGCCATTATAGGGTTTGGACCCTGATTGGATAGACATATTAGGGTTTGGACCCTGATTGGATAGACATATTAGGGTTTGGACCCTGATTGGATAGACATATTAGGGTTTGGACCCTGATTGGATAGACATATTAGGGTTTGGACCCTGATGGGATAGACAGTATAGGGTTTGACCCTGAAGGGACAGACAGTATAGGGTTTTGTCTCTAACAGGACAAATAGTATAGGGTTCATACGTTACATGGAAGACAGTATAAGGGTTTGACCCTGAAGGGACAGAGAGTATAGGGGTTTGTCTCTGATGGGACAGACAGTATAGGGTTTTGTCTCTGACGGGACAGACAGTATAGGGTTTATACCCTGAAGGAACAGACAGTATAGGGTTTTGTCTCTGAAGGAACAGACAGTATAGGGTTTATACCCTGAAGGAACAGACAGTATAGGGTTTATACCCTGAAGGAACAGACAGTATAGGGTTTGACCCTGAAGGGACAGACAGTATAGGGTTTTGTCTCTAACAGGACAAATAGTATAGGGTTCATACGCTACATGGAAGTCAGTATAAGGGTTTGACCCTGAAGGGACAGAGAGTATAGGGGTTTGTCTCTGAAGGGACAGACAGTATAGGGTTTTGTCTCTGACGGGACAGACAGTATAGGGTTTATACCCTGAAGGAACAGACAGTATAGGGTTTTGACTCTGAAGGAACAGACAGTATAGGGTTTATACCCTGAAGGAACAGACAGTATAGGGTTTGACTCTGAAGGAACAGACAGTATAGGGTTTTGTCTCTGACGGGACAGACAGTATAGGGTTTTGTCTCTGACGGGACAGACAGTATAGGGTTTTGTCTCTGACGGGACAGACAGTATAGGGTTTATATTATGAAGGAACAGACAGTATAGGGTTTATACCCTGAAGGAACAGACAGTATAGGGTTTATACCCTGAAGGAACAGACAGTATAGGGTTTTGACTCTGAAGGAACAGACAGTATAGGGTTTTGACTCTGAAGGAACAGACAGTATAGGGTTTATACCCTGAAGGAACAGACAGTATAGGGTTTTGACTCTGAAGGAACAGACAGTATAGGGTTTTGACTCTGAAGGAACAGACAGTATAGGGTTTTGACTCTGAAGGAACAGACAGTATAGGGTTTATACCCTGAAGGAACAGACAGTATAGGGTTTTGACTCTGAAGGAACAGACAGTATAGGGTTTATACCCTGAAGGAACAGACAGTATAGGGTTTATACCCTGAAGGAACAGACAGTATAGGGTTTGACTCTGAAGGAACAGTCAGTATAGGGTTTATACCCTGAAGGAACAGACAGTATAGGGTTTATACCCTGAAGGAACAGACAGTATAGGGTTTTGACTGTGAAGGAACAGACAGTATAGGGTTTTGACTCTGAAGGAACAGACAGTATAGGGTTTATACCCTGAAGGAACAGACAGTATAGGGTTTATACCCTGAAGGAACAGACAGTATAGGGTTTTGACACTGAAGGAACAGACAGTATAGGGTTTGACTCTGAAGGAACAGTCAGTATAGGGTTTATACCCTGAAGGAACAGACAGTATAGGGTTTGACTCTGAAGGAACAGTCAGTATAGGGTTTATACCCTGAAGGAACAGACAGTATAGGGTTTATACCCTGAAGGAACAGACAGTATAGGGTTTATACCCTGAAGGAACAGACAGTATAGGGTTTTGACTGTGAAGGAACAGACAGTATAGGGTTTTGACTGTGAAGGAACAGACAGTATAGGGTTTATATTATGAAGGAACAGACAGTATAGGGTTTATACCCTGAAGGAACAGACAGTATAGGGTTTGACTCTGAAGGAACAGACAGTATAGGGTTTATATTATGAAGGAACAGACAGTATAGGGTTTATATTATGAAGGAACAGACAGTATAGGGTTTTGACTGTGAAGGAACAGACAGTATAGGGTTTATACCCTGAAGGAACAGTCAGTATAGGGTTTATACCCTGAAGGAACAGACAGTATAGGGTTTATATTATGAAGGAACAGACAGTATAGGGTTTATATTATGAAGGAACAGACAGTATAGGGTTTATACCCTGAAGGAACAGACAGTATAGGGTTTATACCCTGAAGGAACAGACAGTATAGGGTTTATACCCTGAAGGAACAGACAGTATAGGTTTTATACCCTGAAGGAACAGACAGTATAGGTTTTATACCCTGAAGGAACAGACAGCATAGGGTTTTGACTCTGAAGGAACAGACAGTATAGGGTTTATACCCTGAAGGAACAGACAGTATAGGGTTTGACTCTGAAGGAACAGACAGTATAGGGTTTATATTATGAAGGAACAGACAGTATAGGGTTTATATTATGAAGGAACAGACAGTATAGGGTTTGACTCTGAAGGAACAGACAGTATAGGGTTTTGACTGTGAAGGAACAGACAGTATAGGGTTTATACACTGAAGGAACAGTCAGTATAGGGTTTATACCCTGAAGGAACAGACAGTATAGGGTTTTGTCTCTGACGGGACAGACAGTATAGGGTTTATATTATGAAGGAACAGACAGTATAGGGTTTATACCCTGAAGGAACAGTCAGTATAGGGTTTATACCCTGAAGGAACAGACAGTATAGGGTTTGACTCTGAAGGAACAGACAGTATAGGGTTTATATTATGAAGGAACAGACAGTATAGGGTTTATATTATGAAGGAACAGACAGTATAGGGTTTTGACTGTGAAGGAACAGACAGTATAGGGTTTATACCCTGAAGGAACAGTCAGTATAGGGTTTATACCCTGAAGGAACAGACAGTATAGGGTTTATATTATGAAGGAACAGACAGTATAGGGTTTATATTATGAAGGAACAGACAGTATAGGGTTTATTGAAGGAACAGACAGTATAGGGTTTATATTATGAAGGAACAGACAGTATAGGGTTTATATTATGAAGGAACAGACAGTATAGGGTTTATACCCTGAAGGAACAGACAGTATAGGGTTTATATTATGAAGGAACAGACAGTATAGGGTTTATATTATGAAGGAACAGACAGTATAGGGTTTATATTATGAAGGAACAGACAGTATAGGGTTTTGACTGTGAAGGAATAGTCAGTATAGGGTTTGACTGTGAAGGAATAGTCAGTATAGGGTTTGACTCTGAGAACACGTTCTGTATTGGAATTCAACCTCAGTAAAACAATCCTCATCAGAAATTTACCTTGGGAAGCGTGTACTGTTAATTGTATAACAGTTGAAATAAGATATCTCTGGGGCCATTGTCATAAAATCTATTTTGGTGAAATGTAAGTTTGATTTTTTGTCTTCTCCAAATAGCTCTTTACTGCTGTCGTTGAAATTTTGCTTTTAAAATGAGGTTAATGCCATTCAGTTAAGAATGATTTTTGGGATGTTATGTTAAAACTCTTCATAAGCATTATTGGATTTATTTGTTTTTTCTTCTGAAGTTCCCAACAGTCTAAAAATTAAATATGAAAAATTTGAAGCTTAAAACACTTGTTCAAAATCAAACTTGCACTGGCCATTAGGAACCAAAGGGTTTTTACAGATGGAATCAAGAACTGTCAGATATAACTTTCTAAGAGTCAACTGACGTAAGTCTTTATACAAACACCGGTAATACTTACACTGTGAAATGGTAAATAAAACACTTCCATCCTGTTGGCCGCTCCAGAAAATTGTACACTTTCCCTTGAATTGATGCTTTCACACTATGTTTGGTCTTGACTTTATATCTATCCTCTAGTATTTTATCCATTTGAGAAATCACAGGTTTAAATTCCAACCAAGCTGCATTAGAGCAATAGGAATCGCCCCCTGAAGTACTTTTTCCTTTAGAGTCAAACTTAACACTGTTTCCACCTTCATTGTTGTTTCCTGGCCCAGAAAGCTGGTATGTCACTTCCTGTTTACCTTGTTCATTGATAATTTTGTCAGCATCAGAAACAGTCTTGTCTGGTTGGTCAATCTCCGCCAACTCAATTGGGTGTGGTAGAATTGGGTCTGGTCCATGTATGATTGGTTCACTGCCCCCAGGGCCAGGAGGCTGACTGCTGTCTGCCTTAGTACCCATCACTGTACCATTCTGATGTTTGTATAAATCACAACATCATCATGACACTTATCACCACCAACCATCACCTGTAACAGAGAAATCAGACATGTCACCACACCACATGTATCATCACCTGTAACAGAGAAATCAGACATGTCACCACACCACATGTATCATCACCTGTAACAGAGAAATCAGACATGTCACCACACCACATGTATCATCACCTGTAACAGAGAAATCAGACATGTCACCACACCACATGTATCACCAATTATCACCTGTAACAGAGAAATCAGATATGTCACCACACCACATGTATCATCACCTGTAACAGAGAAATCAGATATGTCACCACACCACATGTATCATCACAAACCATCACCTGTAACAGAGAAATCAGACATGTCACCACACCACATGTATCATCACCTGTAACAGAGAAATCAGACATGTCACCACACCACATGTATCATCACCTGTAACAGAGAAATCAGATATGTCACCACACCACATGTATCATCACAAACCATCATTTGTAACAGAGAAATCAGACATGTCACCACACCACATGTATCATCACCTGTAACAGAGAAATCAGACATGTCACCACATCACATTTATCACCAATTATCACCTGTAACAGAGAAATCAGACATGTCACCACACCACATGTATCATCACCAGTTATCACCTGTAACAGAGAAATCAGACATGTCACCACACCACATGTATCATCACCAGTTATCACCTGTAATAGAGAAATCAGACATGTCACCACACCACATGTATCACCAATTATCACCTGTAACAGAGAAATCAGACATGTCACCACATCACATGTATCACCAATTATCACCTGTAACAGAGAAATCAGACATGTCACCACACCACATGTATCACCAAATATCACCTGTAACAGAGAAATCAGACATGTCACCACACCACATGTATCATCACCAGTTATCACCTGTAATAGAGAAATCAGACATGTCACCACACCACATGTATCATCACCAGTTATCACCTGTAACAGAGAAATCAGACATGTCACCACACCACATGTATCATCACCAGTTATCACCTGTAACAGAGAAATCAGAAATGTCACATCATGACATCAAATGTCATTGACCATCACCTGAGAAATCAGACATTGTGTGTGACACTTTCATATCTTCCATGCTAGAAAACACAACTTCTTGGTAACAGGTACATCAGTCTGATTACAAAGTTAGGATTAATCTCCTACAATAAAGTGGTTATCTCCACTTTTCTTCACAGATACAAAATCCTAGCTACAATAATGCTATCATTATCACATATAACCTCGAGGCATCAACAGTTGTCTGTACTGAGCTGCGGAGGCTGACTATATAGATGCGTATCTTCCAGCAAATGACAAGCTACCTATCATACCTAATACATTATCTCTTGTCAGATCATAACCCAGTAATGCTGTGTGAAGCATATCCTCCCTATATAAACACATACAATGTAAACGCTGCCAACCTTCAGAACCCACAACTCTCAGAAACACAAACTCTCAGAACCCCAAAGTATCAGAACCCACAATTCTCAGAAACACAAACTCTCAGAACCACCAACTCTCAGAACCCACAACTCTCAGAACCACCAACTCTCAGAACAGAACCACTCACTAATAGTTCAAGTAACTTATTTATATATCCTTTTACTCACAGATCTGTTAACTCATAAATCCTTTTACTCACAGATCTGTTAACTCATAAATCCTTTTACTCACAGATCTGTTAACTCATAAATCCTTTTACTCACAGATCTGTTAACTCATAAATCCTATAATTCACAGACCCTTTTACTCACAGATTCTGAACTTACAGATCCCTTCAAGTCATAGTTACTATCAGTGCTTTTAAATTACTCCATTTTAACATAAATCCACTAAAACATAAAATGCCTTCATGGATGACTGAGTCTAATGTTTCAGCGCACAGGACTGAGCTCCACTGGGTATTTATTTTTTTAGAGGATCGAACATCAAAGAATCAATACTGGTAAGTACACGTATATTGATCCTCTGGAGGATTTTCACAGAGGCCCTCTACTGTCATAACAGCAGTCTGACCTACTTAAACATTCTTTATTTTTGAAACAGAAATTATGACTTACTTAAATGTTTATAATTTTAAGATATAGTTTTGTGACCTACTTCAAGAATCTACTATTTTAAAGGAGAATGATATTACCTACTTGAAGATTCTGAGATTTTAAAACAGAAATTGTGATTTACTGAAACATCCAAGATTTTAAAAAGAGAATGCTATGACCTACTTATATATTCTAGGATTTTAAAACAGAAATGGGGACATATTGAAACATCTCTGACTTTAAAACAGAATGTTTCTACAACAAGATAAAATCTGATACAAGAGCCTTCTTACAACAACATAAACATGCCAATGATAAACACTCTACTAAAGTGACCATACCTACCAAGCTTCAGTTGATCAGGATACAGTAGAATACTCCTCTGTACATCTGTTGACATAACATTACAATACAGGACAAGAGATCCCAGTGTGTCAGATGACATGTGGGTGCCTACTGCACCATCTGTTCTTCCTGCCGTTCACTCAACCATGAAATCTGGTATCACTACAATCACAAAAGAATCATACCTTCACTGCATTGAAGATTCACAATCTGGACTTGTAGGCGTCAGACTATACAGAGTCTGGACTTATAATGGTCAAACTATACAGAGTCTGGTTTGTAGGGGTCAGACTATACAGCGTCTGAACTTATAGTAGTCAAACTATACACAGTCTGGTTTGTAGGGGTCAGACTATACACAGTCTGACAGGTAGGGGTCAGATTATACAGAGTCTGGTTTGTAGGGGTCATACTAAACAGAGTCTGACAGGTAGGGGTCATACTATACAGAGTCTAGTTTGTAGGGGTCATACTAAACAGAGTCTGGTTTATAGGGGTCAAACTATACAGAGTCTGGTTTGTAGGAGTCAGACTGTAAAGAGTCTAGACTTATAGTGGTCAGACTATACAGAGTCTAGACTTATAGTGGTCAGACTATACAGAGTCTGGTTTGTAGGGGTCAGAATATACAGACACTGATGGGTAGGGGTCAAATTATACAGCGTCTGGTTTGTAGGGGTCAGACTATACAAACTGACCTGTAGGGGTCAGACTATACACAGTCTGACAGGTAGGGGTCAGACTATACAGAATCTGGTTTGTAGGAGTCAGACTATACACAGTCTGACAGGTAGAGGTCAGACTATACAGAGTCTGGTTTGTAGGGGTCAGACTATACAGAGTCTGACAGGTAGGGGTCAGACTATACAGAGTCTGGTTTGTAGGGGTCAAACTATACAGAGTCTGACAAGTAGGGGTCAGACTATACAGAGTCTGGTTTGTAGGGGTCAAACTATACAGAGTCTGGCTGATATAGGGTAAGACCTTATGCAGCCTGCTTGGTAGAGGTCAGACCTTACACTGTCCAGCTGGTAAGAGTCAGACCTTATACAGTCTAGCTGATAGGGGCAAGACATAACATATTCTGGATGGTAGGTGTGAGACCTTACACAGTCTGGACTGTGGGGGCCAGATTTTACACAGTTTTGTTGGTAGGGGTCAAACCTTATACAACCTTGCTAGTAGCCATCAAACCTTACACAGTCAAGCTGGTAAAAGTCAGACCTTCTACAGTCTAGTTGATGGGCCAGATCATCTCTTCTTTACTTTAGTCTGATATATAGATCTCTCCCTTGTACTAACCTCAAGCATACACCTCTCCCTATTGAAGTCTAATACATACACCTCTCCCTATTGAAGTCTAATACATACACCTCTCTATATTGAATTCTAATACATACACCTCTCTGTATTGAAGTCTAATACATACACCTCTCCCTATTGAAGTCTAATACATACACCTCTCCCTATTGAAGTCTAATACATACACCTCTCCCTATTGAAGTCTAATACATACACCTCTCCCTATTGAAGTCTAATACATACACCTCTCCCTATTGAAGTCTAATACATACACCTCTCCCTATTGAAGTCTAATACATACACCTCTCTGTATTGAAGTCTAATACATACACCTCTCCCTATTGAAGTCTAATACATACACCTCTCCCTATTGAAGTCTAATACATACACCTCTCCCTATTGAAGTCTAATACATACACCTCTCCCTATTGAAGTCTAATACATACACCTCTCCCTATTGAAGTCTAGTACATACACCTCTCCCTATTGAAGTCTAATACATACACCTCTCCCTATTGAAGTCTAGTACATACACCTCTCCCTATTGAAGTCTAATACATACACCTCTCCCTATTGAAGTCTAATACATACACCTCTCCCTATTGAAGTCTAATACATACACCTCTCTGTATTGAAGTCTAATACATACACCTCTCTGTATTGAAGTCTAATACATACACCTCTCCCTATTGAAGTCTAATACATACACCTCTCCCTATTGAAGTCTAATACATACACCTCTCCCTATTGAAGTCTAATACATACACCTCTCCCTATTGAAGTCTAATACATACACCTCTCCCTATTGAAGTCTAATACATACACCTCTCCCTATTGAAGTCTAATACATACACCTCTCCCTATTGAAGTCTAATACATACACCTCTCCCTATTGAAGTCTAATACATACACTTTTCCCTATTGAAGTCTAATACATACACCTCTCCCTATTGAAG